CGCCGCAGCTTGAGGGGCACCTTGTCCAGCTCCAGCTGGTCGGAGAGGTCCCTGGCCTGCGACCTGCCAGGGGAAGCCGGGGACCACAGGGTCTGGGCCTCTCCCCTCAAGGGGCCTCAGGCCCCGAACCGCGGACCTGGCTGAGCCCCCAGGGAAGTGCTGAGCACCTCCTGGGTTCGGGTTGAGGTTTGGGGCGGGTGCTTGCTCATTCGAGCTTCTGGCCCAGCTCCAATGCCTGGAGCCACTGCCCAGTGCGACGGGTCACCTGTGCAACCTCCTCGATGATATTGATGGCTCCTTCAAGTTGTGGCAGCTGCTGTGTGGCCCCCTTGCCTGCTGTGGTGGCCTGGGAGCCTGCGGGGTGGGGAGCACCCTGGGGCAGACACCCACCGGCGCAGGGCTGGGGGCTGGACACCTGGGTGCCCTGGGAGGGGTGTGGGGGCAGGGGGCTGCGGCATGGGGGCTGGGGCCAGGATGCCTGGGTTTTCTGCTGGCTCTGCGCACCTCAGTCCTGCCTGAGGTAGCCATGACCCTGCACTGAGACCCCATGTCACAGGGCAGGCGGGACATGGCTCAGTTGCACACGCGTGTGTGTGGGTGCGCACGAGATCCCAGCCGTGGGGTTACCGCAGGGCGAGGCTGTCTGCGTGGCTGGCAGAGCTGCCCCTTGCTCTGAGTTGAGGGGTTCCCGTCACCCCCAGCAGTGCAGCCAGGGAGCTCGGGGGAGCCCGCATGCCTGGGCTCTCTCCCAGCTTTTGTGGGGGGTTTGGTAGGGGCCAAGCAGGGGAGGCTGCAGGCCCGGATGCCTGGGTCCCACCATGGCTGGGGTGTTTGAGCCTGGGGGTGAGTTGGGAACCCGGATGCTTGGTTTCTGTGGGGCTGGTGTATTGCAGCCAGGCCTGGAGTGGGTGGGATGGGGCGAGTGCAAGGAGGGGCCAGGGCTAGTCGCTCATTAACCACGACCCCCCCACAACTGTTGGCCCAGGGTCTAGAGCCCTGTCCTGGACACCTGGGTTCTCTGGGGACCTGCTCCCCACAGGCTGCACTGGCAGGGGGAAGGGGCGGGGGGGGCAGTGGGGACGCAGTGGTGCAGGGCACTGTTTTGACTGGCTCGTTTGTCTCCGCAGCCACTTTATTGGCATCAGACGGGGGCTGCGCCAGGCTAGGAGGAGATGGGTGGGAGCCCCACCAGCTGCTCCTTCAGCTCCAGCGCCCACTTGGTGACGGCCTGCAGCGCCCCGGGCAGGTCCAGCCCCAACGCCTCCACGTGCTCCAGCGCCTGCTCCAATGCCTGCATCGTCTGCTCCGCGGCTGTTTCCAGGTAGGGCTCCATCGCCCACAGCGGCAGCTCCACGAGCCTCATGGTGCTGAGGATGGCGTTCCTCAGCGCCTGCCTCAGCTCAGGGGACATCCCCACCTCCAGCTCCAGCTGGTCGGAGAGGTCCCTGCCAGGGGAAGCCGGGGACCACAGGGTCAGGAGTCAGGGCCTCTTCTGTCCAGGAGCCTCAGGCCCTGATCCGGTAACCTGGCCAACCCCCAGGGCAGTGCCCAACCCCCTCCTGGGTTTGGGTTCAGGTTTGGGGCAGCTGCTCACTCACTCCAGCTCCCGGACCATCTCCGACACCTTGAGCCACTCCTCAGTGTCATGGGTCACCTGCATGACCTCCTTGATGATGTTGTTGACGGCTTCTTCCAGCTGCCGCAGCCGCGGGGCAGCCCCCTTGCCCGCCGGAGCGGCCTGGGAGCCTGCGGGGCAGGGAGCACCCCCGGGAGAGACACCGTCAGCGCAGGACTGGGGGCCTGGGTGCTCTGGGAGGGGCGCGGGGGCTGGGAGGTCAGAGCAGGGGGCTGAGAGCCCAGACGCCTGGGTCCCCCTGCAGCCATTCCCGGTGTCAGGGGGTTACTGGGCTCAAGGTTTCCCCGTCCTGTCCTGTGCCCTGTGCAGTGCCCAGCATAGTGGGTCCCGCTCTGTGCTTGGGCCAAGGCCACTCACCTGCCAGGCTGAGCACGGCCAGTGCCAGGACGGCAGCGCGCAGCTCCATGGTGGCGGTGGTGACACCCGGGAGCTCTTGGCTGGATGTGGTGGGGCGGCGCGGGGTGAGTTTGTAGGAGGCGGGGGCCGTCACTCATTAACCGCAGCCCCCCCGCGTCCCTGACCCCATCCCGGGGGCGCTGCTGCTGGCGTCGAGCCCTTTGGTGCAAAGGCTGGGGCGCGGTGGGGTTGGGAGCCCGGACACCTGGGTTTTCTACGGGCTCTGGGCGGGGAGTGAAGTTAGAGCAGGTGGGGCTGGCGGACGCCTGCGGTCTCTCCCAGCACACTGGGGCTGCCCGGCGACCACGTGCCTGGCTGCACGGGGCCCACAGTGGTCTCATCCCACTCCCACGTGACCTGGGGAGCAAAGCCCGATGGTGGTGGGGTGGGGTGGGGTGGGGGTTGGACAAGGCAGGCCTGGCCTCGAGGCAGGGGGCGAGGAACTGCTCTCCGGCTCTCCTGGCTCAGCTCCGACTCCCTAAACATCCGCTTGACGTCAGCGCCCGGCAGCCGGGCCTGCTCCAACTGCCCCAGGAGGCTCTTCGGAGCCGCGCCAGGAGCAGGGCGGCCCCTGCGCTCACCAGGGACATCTGCTAAGGCCCCCACCCCCGTGAGAGCCGGCCCGGGCGCCTGGGCTCTCGCCAGGTCGGCGTGGAAGCGAGGTCTGCGGGGTGAGAGCAGGGGGCTGGGAGCCCGGCCGCCTGGCTCTCTGCAGCGCTGGGCGGGGAGTGGGGCCTAGTTGTTAGAGCAGGGAGGGCTGGGAGCCCGGGGGCCTGGGTTCTCGGTGTGGACTGGGGCCTAGTGGTTAGGGTAGCCCGGGGGCCTGGGTTCTCGGCGGGGGGGGTGTGGCTGCTGACTTGCTCTGGGCGTGTCCCTTGTCTCCAGGTGACCCTTGCCCCCTGCTGCCACCTGGGATAAATAGGCCCCGGTGCGGGGCGCTGCCTTCAGCTACCGCTGCCCCCCGCTCTCCCTGGGGCCACGTGCGGTCAGGGCGTCCTGGGCAGGGGCTCCCGGGAGCCGCGGGGCAGAGTCCATCTGGACTGTGCTGCACATGGACTTTTGTTCAGGGGAGCCCTGCCACGTCGGGGCGGCCGCGCCCGAGAGCCCCACCTCTCCCCCAGCTGACAGAAACGTCCCCGTGCCTCCACCGCCACCGGGCCTCCCACCCCTGCAGGGTGGTGTCTGGGCCCCCCACCCATTACCTGGGGGAGGCCTGGCCTGCGTGAAATGCCCCAGGAGGGGGTGGGGGATCCTGGTGGCAACATGGGATGCCCTGCCTGGGCAGGCAGTTCTGCCCCAGCCCTAGGGGGCACTGTGTATTGGTGGGGCAGCAGGGAGCTCTGACCTGGCAGGCAGTGCTGGGAGATGGGGCAGGGCTGCCCGTGCTACCCCAGGGTAAGGAAGCAAAGAGAAGGACTGGGGCTGGGGCTGCAGGGAAGGGGCTGGAGCCGGGACTGGGACTGGGGGGACTGGAGCTGGGGTCAGCAGCAGCAGCTGCAGCAGGCCAGGCTGGGCTGATGGGTGTTGGGGGGAAGCAGGGGAGAGGTCAGGGCTGGGGGGAAGGCAGTGATGGGGGTGCAGGGGAGAGGTCGGGGCTGGGTGGAAGGCAGTGATGGGGGTGCAGGGGAGAGGTCGGGGCTGGGTGGAAGGCAGTAATGGGGGTGCAGGGGAGAGGTCGGGGCTGGGTGGAAGGCAGTGATGGGGGTGCAGGGGAGAGGTCGGGGCTGGGTGGAAGGCAGTGATGGGGGTGCAGGGGAGAGGTCGGGGCTGGGTGGAAGGCAGTGATGGGGGTGCAGGGGAGAGGTCGGGGCTGGGTGGAAGGCAGTGATGGGGGTGCAGGGGAGAGGTCGGGGCTGGGTGGAAGGCAGTGATGGGGGTGCAGGGGAGAGGTCGGGGCTGGGTGGAAGGCAGTGATGGGGGTGCAGGGGAGAGGTCGGGGCTGGGTGGAAGGCAGTGATGGGGGTGCAGGGGAGAGGTCGGGGCTGGGTGGAAGGCAGTGATGGGGGTGCAGGGGAGAGGTCGGGGCTGGGTGGAAGGCAGTGATGGGGGTGCAGGGGAGAGGTCGGGGCTGGGTGGAAGGCGGTAATGGGGGTGCGGGGGAGGGCGC